TAGAAAAAGGGACACGACAAGGTTGCCCAATCTCCCCATTGCTATTTATATCGGTCCTGGAGGTCCTGCTGAATATGATTAGAAGGGACCAATTGGTTAAAGGTATACAAGTCGGAGCTAAACAGTACAAATTGAGAGCATTTGCAGATGACTTAGTATTGACATTGCAGGAGCCAGAATCTAGTACTAAAAGGGTTTTGGAACTGATTCAAGAATTTGGTCAGGTTGCAGGATTTAAATTGAATAAGTTAAAAACAAAGGTCTTAGAGAAAAACTTAACTGTGATTGAGAAAGAGAGGTTTCAGAATGAGACAGGTTTAACAGTGGTTAAGAAAGTGAAATACCTGGGGATTAACATGACAGCAAAAAATGGGAATCTATTTAAAGACAATTATGAAAAATGCTGGGCTGAAGTGAAAAAAGATTTTTTGATTTCCCCCCCTAAAAACTAGGTGCGCCCTATGGTCCGGTGTGCCCTATGGTGCGAAAAATACGGTAATCTCAGAGAGAGAACACTGCAATTAGGGGCAGGGAGTGGGGGAAGCTCCCTGTTCCCTCCCTCCCTCCCATCACTGATGCTGCTCCCACATCCCTCCATGTGCTGAGGGTGAATGTCTGCATCAGGAAGCCTTTTCTTCTTGTGTCAGCTCCCTAAGTGATTTAGAATCCTGGCCATACAGGGTTTGAAATCATGTGAGGAGCATACATTTCACAAGGCACTTCAGCTGTGAATTATTTTAAATGAGTGTATATACTTTTCTTGATAGTGCTTAGCTGTCTCTACAACTCTGAGCAATTCAGAGGCATTTGTTTATAGCGTGCTTTACAGGCATATTTATTTGCTGTCACACAAACAAACCAGGATTTCTTCGTAACTTTTAGGAAGTACACACTGCCACCTTGATCGTACCACTAAATATCTGTTTAATAGAGATGACAGCTGAAATTTATGTGGAGAGCCTATCCTTGAAGACTAAATTGTCTGTAATCTGGCATTTGTACACAATACTTGCAAAATATTGCCTACTTCATACATTTGGTTTCCTATACATATTTGATCACAAAGCCACTTCAGACCAAAATGGTCTATAATAACCCTGAAGGTTGCAAGTGGTGGCTCAAATGTTTAAATCAAAGTATCAAAATGTATGGAAACTACAAAATGTGTGAAAGAGTAGACTGTCAGCCAACTTTCAATTCATCAAAGTGACAGAAAACACTCAGGAGGAAGCACGAGAATATCAAAATACCAGCATGATCAGGTATGGTCAGGTATGATGAGAGCTGGAGACCAATGACAGATGGAAGGCCATAGGTTTCCACATTGTGATTTGTAAGCTTAGAAAGTTCAGGTTCAAAGTGACTAGGTCACGGTTCTGAGTCCCATAATGCCAGAGCCAGGGGCTGGGCAGGACTGTATGAGCTCAGCATTAAACTGCAGCCTACCCCAGATTGGTTGGAGGCAGGATAATTGCTGCTAGCTTTGCTGTTCCTTCCCGCCCTTAGTTCATGGCAGACCTAAGTATGTGAGCTAGTATGGCAGTCTTTTTGCACTGCTATTATGCTATGGGATATATCTCTGAAAGATAGTTCAACCAGTGAACGATGCCCTTTCAATGCTTTCTACAGGTACTGCGGGTTCTGGCAAGGGTGGAATTTAGGGATGGAGGTGAAATTATAGGTACAAAATTATCCTGTAACCACTTGTCCTCCCTAGTTTCATTTAAAAAACATCAGCATTTTAAAATTCTCTCCTCTCTGGTTTGGCTGAGGGTTGTGCATAACCCAAGTGAGTACAAAACTAGTGTTTAGGACTCCTGGTGGAGTTGCCTAGAGCTACACAGTAGCTGATAGGCTCCAACAACACACAATCCTGGGATTAAATAAAAGTGTTTGAAATGACTGAATTAACTTCAGTATTACTGAACTAGTTACAGCACTCTGATTATTTCATCATGTCATACATTGAGGAGGGAGAGACAGATAGTATAACATCTTTGTAAAAGAATGGATGGATCACCAGCCCACTATTTTTTTATCACAGGACAAAGAGATCATTGAATCATAGTACAGTTGAGAGGAATCACAAGAGCCATTTAGTCCAACCCCTTGCAGTGCAGGAATCCTTGTTCCCAATGTGGGGCTGAAGCCCACAGCCCTGAGACTAAGAGTCTCATGCTCTACTGGCTGAGATGACTATAGGAAGCTGCATTACATTGGACCAGATCATTGCTCCATTGTGCCCAGTACTGTTTACACTGAAAACGGGGTCTCCAAGTTCTCAGGCCGGGAACTTCTGAGGCCTACAATCTGAGATGTTTTAACTGGAGATTCTGGGGATTTATAGCTACAGGTTCAGAGGTAACATACCTATGAATGCCAATCACTAGAGAAGAGCATAGCTCCCATATATTTCCAACCTTCTTTTTTTAAAAAATAATGGTTTTATTTATTTTTCATGGTAAAGGTAAAGGTAAAGGGACCCCTGACCATTAGGTCCAGTCGTGACCGACTCTGGGGTTGCAGCGCTCATCTCGCTTTATTGGCCGAGGGAGCCGGCGTACAGCTTCCGGGTCATGTGGCCAGCATGACTAAGCCACTTCTGGCGAACCAGAGCAGTGCACGGAAACGTCGTTTACCTTCCCGCTGGAGTGGAACCTATTTATCTACTTGCACTTTGACGTGCTTTCGAACTGCTAGTTTGGCAGGAGCTGGGACCAAACAACGGGAGCTCACCCCGTTGCGGGGATTCGAACCGCCGACCTTACGATAGGCAAGCTCTAGGCTCTGTGGTTTAGACAGAAGATAAATTTTGAGAAAACAGTTATTACAACAATAAACAACAAATAACTTGTTCTGATGAAATCACAGGTTTTATTATGCCATGTGTTAAAGTTTCATTTGATTACTCTAAGCCTTTCTTTCATTTCCTATGTAACTGGGAAAGCCAAGACAGGAAGACTGATAAATACTAATCAGGTTTAAGATTTTCTCCTCCTTCTAGGAAATGAAATAGAACAGCTAGCCTAAGACATTTTGCTGCCTGAAGAAAAGGACAAGATGGTGCATCCTCTTCTCTACCCATGTACAGTCTGGCAGCTGAATCTTTCTTCAGCCCCGGTGACAAGACAGGATTCACCACTGAGGGCAGCAGGCTTGCTTCCGAGGTGCATTGCAGACTGTGTTGCACACAGATCTCTGTCTAACAGATGAAAATGGCTGTTCCTTCTAACAGCCGGGGGTTGCCAGCACTGTCCTCCCCACCCCACATCTGTGGTTTAAGATAGTCACTTCATTTTACCTAATGGTAGGGCTGGCCCTGGTAGATAGTCTCATAGTTTTCCCACCCCACAAAAGATGAAGAGAGGAGTGATTCGTAAGCCCCAAATGCTGGTGGTCTTGGCTTAGAATGCTTACTTCTCTAGAACTACTGTTCTCAACATGCCTGTACTATTTTGAGAGAAAGACAGTATGTCCTCTCTTTTTTGTCATAAATATACCCTTGCACAAAGGGCAGTGCAGTCAGAAGAAACAAAGCGCAGTTCAGAATCCTCAATGTGCTTCAACCTGGGGAAAATGGTTCACTGGGGAAATACATGAATGTCAAGTAACGAAATTCAAGTCAGTCTTTTGGAGTCAAGGAGGCAACAACATATGTTTTTCAATTGACCTTCTTGCCCTTCTCTTGCTTTTGAGAAAGCTTTTTTTCCAGTTGAAGAGTAAGAGGTGAGAGGCCCCTACATCAGTTTTTATGTGAATAGAAGATCTTGCTTTTTGTAAGCATAACATTCAGTACTCCTTTTGAATTTGTGTGCAGTTATTTGAATTTGGATATTGTAAAGCTCCCAAAGATTATGCATTCCTACCCTTCCCACTGCTGACAGAACAGCAAATATGTGTGCCATGTTGGGTCTCAAATTTCAGCAACACCCTGTGCAATGCCAAAATTTGGCACCCCCAGCTCTCACGCTCCATTCTAATTAATAGTTGCAGCGTCCCCTGCAGTAACCCCAAGGCTCCACACTCAGTATAAGTGAATTGGTTGTGCTTCCCTAAATCTGGCCCTGGTTGTGTGTGTGTGTATGTGTGTGTGTGTGTGTGTGTGTGTGAGAGAGAGAGAGAGAGAGAGAGAGAGAGAGAGAGAGAGAGATTGCACATGTGTATGTTGTGGGGGGATCTATTTTTTATACCAAGGTGACTGTTGGAGGTGAAATCATTCCAAAGTAATTGCCCAAAGGAACAGCGTTCCAATGGCAACATTTGTCCCACATAAATCTCAAGAGATTGGAGATCACTTTTAAGATTTATTTTAAACAGCAGACAAAAGATGGCCTCTGTGATGAATATGAAGAGCTGAAAATAAATGATTGCACTTTTATCTAGAGATGAAACCAGGCTTATACACTTTGAGCATTTTCACTCGGCAAACTGCAACTTAGCAATCATGATACACAGCAAAGATCCTTGTCCTCAGTCCTCGCTTTTAAGAAGTGGAACTGATGGAGCACAGGAACCCGAGGCTGCTTTGCTGTCATTACAAAAGTATTTCATGGTGTATGGTGTGTGTCTTACAGGATTTAAATGAAGGCCGCAGGAGAACTTACATCCAAACACAGTCTGAGGTATTGATGTCTCCAAAGTCATTACCATTAGATTTGTGAAGAAGAGCTACTAAGTTAGTACAGACATTATCTTCTAAAGCAATTCTGGGAAGACTTCACTCTCATCTATAACAGCCAATTGTAAGCATTCACCAGCCTGGAATTTTATGTGCATTAGTCATCTGGCGGTCACATCCTAAACATTACAATTTATCATGCTTGCAAGAAGTCTGACATATATGACGCTTTGGTTGATGGAGAGGGTGTGTTTAAGACCAAAAGCTTGTGTCCATAGAATGTGATGCTAATTATCACAGTACAGAATCATACAATTGTAGAGTTGGAAGGGACCCTGAGGATCATCTAGTCCAACCCCCTGCAATGCAGGAATATGCAGCTGTCCTGCATGGGGATTGAACTTGCAACCTTGGTACGAGTTCTCAGCACCACGCTCTAACCAGCTGAGCTATCCAGGAAGTGTTGCATCCAGGGCTGCACCAACTCTCAGACTGCAGGGGAAGGCTTACAAAACTGAAGACTAGCCTGTCTGGGTTGGGGGTGTGTGTGTGTTAGTTGGCCTCTTCTTAATATGCTGACTTTCTTTGTGCTGGATTTAAATAAATAATTACCTGAGATGCTACCTGAAGTCTAGTGATCTAATCTAGTCAGAGGTTTGACACCTCAGTGAAAAGTAGAATTAACCATCCATGAGGGTAGTGTGACAAGAGCACCATCAGGACCCTCAATCATTCTCCCCCAGAATTTTTTTGTTTTAGTCGCTCTTTAGAACATTAAGCAGCCCTTGAATACACCTGCAGATTGCTCAGAGTCACTCTGCATCATGGAACCTGTAGTTTGCAGTTGCTGAACGCACAGTAATTGTCATACATGCAAGATCCCATTTGAGATGGAATCAGTTATCAACATAAACTACAATCTTGATATTAATGATTCACTACCAGGTTCAGCATACCCTAAGTATCATTTCTTGTGACAAAAATGCAGAGCCACACTTGGGCAATGATCTCTTTATGACAATGAGGGCATGCAGCTCAGTGCATGTGGGAGAATGGCTGGGGCAGGTGGTGGTATAGGAAGACCTTTGCAATGAAATCATTCCCCATACTGCCAAAGTTTAGAATATATACCCAAAGCTGCATATATAGCTAACATTATAAAAAGCTCTTTAAGTATATATAGAGATATCATAAAATGGATTATTAGAATTGTATGGGTGTTTTTATTCCAAAGACAATGGTTGGTATCCAAAGATATTCAGATCAGTGGGACTACCCTGAGTAATGCCTTATTACCTTTTGGTTTTGATTTCTGCTTGACTGAAAGTATTCCAAGTCACCATCTCTTAAAACAATCTCACAGAGAGTGGTGCTCTGGGGACAAAATACCAACTCTGGGGATGGGATAAGTAGAATAAATATTCCTGAAATGTTTGCCAATAACCTAGGATTGCGAATAAACTTTTCATACTCATAGTCATTTTCAAATCTATAGAGAAGCTTTCAGTTGCCAAGAGAAGAGTGCAGTTGCCAAACTGCAATCTAATTTGTGTACTACTAGGGGAATGGAATCAGAAAGTGCTTCATGCTTGAAATGAAAAATCAGACGTAGGGTTTTGTTTTTGTTTTGTTTTTTTGTTTGGAGAACAGGCTCTCTGGTAGCTTCTGCCCACAAGAGGGCATTAGTAATCTAAAGAAAGTGGACAGCAAATCCACAAGTCTCTCACAAAGTTGATTCGGTGCTGATAAAACCATGTTTTTAAAAAAAGAAAAAGTGAGAGGGGTTATCATTAATACACATAGCCATTTATGATAATGAAGTCTTTAACTTACACAAGTGTGTCCAGAAACATCCGTCATTCTTGCTAAAACAGCTCTTTGAAAAATAGTGTGAATGAGGTCACTGAACATTTTTTTTTAATAAAAAAGAACACTTATCATTATTTATAACACTAAAACATCCAAGCTCCCAGACTTCCTACAATTTTTAGGATTCCACTATAGAATTGCATGTCCAGTGAACTATATGTTTGGTGACCCTTATATGCAATATATTTAACTGGGTAAATGTTGACCAAGGAGTTAGAAATGTTGCATACATGCTCAGACTTGTGAGAAACTAGGAAACTCTTATACACCCTTCCTTTATGCTGCTTAATGATAGGGAAGAAGATCAGCAGAATTGGAATGAGATAGAAATTAACATGACACCCCCTTGCCTTCTTTCTTTAGTGAAGATTGTGTTAGGATGAAAGCATGGCAAATATTGAGATGCCTTTGCATATGCATCTGCCCAAGAGATAGTGGGCATTACGACATGTTGTGTAAACTAATTAAGAACAGATGCCATGTCTACATCTGCCACCAGGTGATGCTGATGGCGGCTCGCTGGAAGTTAAATTCCACTAGGAAAAGTGTTGTGTGACTTGACAGAATTGCATGGGCTGATTTAAAAAAATAGGAAGCCATTATAACAAATTCATGTATGTGGCTACCTGTTCAAGTGATATAAGTTGTATAATATTTATCCATCCATCTATCCATTGAGCTGCATCAGTCAGAGAGGAGGAACCTCTCAAAAAGATTCAAGATGACAAAGTACATAAAAATGTACAAATTAGGATGTCGACCAACTGCAGTTTTTAAACAGCCTTCAAAGGTAGCCCTATGTACAATGTATTGCAGTACTCCAAACAGGGTGCTCCAAAGAATTGATGACTGACCCGTTGTATCTGTCCAGGAGGGACTGCTGCTGGTACACAAGCCTCAGCTGGTCAAATGCCACTTTGTGCCATGGGAATTAGTTGGCCTTACAACTATAAGTATCTAACAGCACCCTCAGGTTGCAAACTTCATTAGGAGGGGTGTTATTCCACCCAGAATGAGTTGAATACCGCTCCCAGGGCAGACAGGCCAATTGCATCTTTGTCTTCTCTGGACTGAGGTCAACTTTATTGTCCTCCATCCAGCCCATTACTTATTCCTTCCAAGCAATGGTTCAGCAACCCCATAGCCTCATCTGAGTCAGATGAAAGGATAAATAGAGTTGGGTGTCATCACCCTAATGAAAAACACCTCATTCTAAGACCTTGGATTACTCACCCAGTAACTTCCTGTAGATGTTTAACGGCATGTTTGTCTGCTCTCTTGATTTTACCTCTCTCCCGTCACCTTATCCAGACTCTGATGGGTAACTCATTCAAAACCACAAAGAGGTTCCCAGTCAGTATCTGTGGACTTGGGTTTGAATTGGTTTTTATATGTGACATTTGTTTACATGTGTTTTGTTGTCCTCTATTGTGAATTTGCTTTGAGATGCTTCATAGAAAGCGAGCCATAAATGAACAAACAAACAAACAAAGGTAAGGAGACCAACTTCTAATCATTGGTTCCCAGTAATGAGTCAACCAAACATCATGGATAACAAAGGATTGCAAGCAGCAGCTATAATCACATGCTTCCTTGAAAGTGCTCCTGTAGATCTCAATGGATCTTATTCCCAAGTAAGCAAAAATAGTTATGCAGCATGAGAGTAGAGTGTATCACCTAATGCTTAGCCAACAGAACATCTCAAAATATGGTGTGGCATGAACATTTCAGGCATTATGTTGAAGATGAAGCTGTTACTGTCTCCATTTCAATTAGGTATGCACTATTACCCATGTACCTTTTAACTTTCCTCAGAGAAGCAGGCTAAGTTAAATTACTGGGTTTTTTTGTGGCACAAGATGTTCTCACAAATTAAAAAAGATAGATGGCTCTGGCAGTACTTTTGTACTTGGACAGAATGAGCGTCTATACTGATGTTTAAGTAAATAGGCAGGCCACCCTTGGCGCTTGTCTTGCTCTTCCAGGGCTATAATCTATCCTGTACATCTGATAGTTGCCCAGACAAAGAGGCTTGGCAAGCATTATATGGCCTGTCAGTTCTGTGTTGAGGAGGTTTATAAAATGAGCAGATGGACTGAATTCACTTTCATTATGGCAGAATAATATATATCGCCTGAAGATGTATGTCTGAGAATGAATCTCCTCACCAAATTTATCTTTGTTGAGTCTCCACAGATTCCAATTTAATTTGAGTCTAGTCAAAATTATTCATTAAGAGTTGCCTTTGGATTCCTAGGTTTAAATGTACTGTAACATTCCTCACTTAACAAATAGTGACATGGAGTTAATGAGTATCAGTGGGTCGAAACAGGCCGTCTGCAGCCCATAACAACAGTTGTGGAGGCATCATCACAACTTTCCTGAGGCCTGACTATTGTGGGGGCATCAGCAGTGATTATTATTTATTTCTCACCTTGCCCACTTTTCATGTCTACTGATACTGAGAGGGAACACCATAAAACTCAAGTATTTGATATCCCGTTATCTGAAGGAAAAGACAGAATGAACACTAAAAGCATGTGTATTTAAAAATACATTTATTTAGAAATATAAACTGGCTTGCTTAAGCCCTGCAGTTCTCTTTATTGCTTTCATGCGTGGTTTTGAGAAAACCTCAGTGGCTTCAGACATCCCTAGAAGAAAAAAACACAGGGACAATGAGGGGAATGGCTATCATCCACTTCCCCTGGCTTTTGCCTGGAAACTTCATTCGCCTTGACCACATTCAAAACCTCTCACTTGCATACACAAAAATACACCAGCTGACACATTCGCTCATCATTCACCCACCATTCATTCAAACCCTTGCATTCATTCATATAAACATATGCCAGCCGACATTCAGCAGACAAATTCACTCATCGTTTACTCTCTATTCATTCACAACTTCCTTTTCACACACACAAACATAGGCCAGCCAACATCCCTGAAGAATGCCAACAGACACATTCACTCATCTTTCACTCTCCATTCATTCACTTTCAGTGCCCTGGCTTCAACCTACAAATATCCACTGGCTTCTGTCAACGAGCTTCCAAAGGTGAACTTAAACCAACATACATCTGCAAATATCTGCTCCAGTCTTACAACATCCATTGGCCTCTGAATGCAAACACCACCAATTTCTGCCCACCAGCACCTGCCAGCTTCTGTTAGGTCCATTACTAGACATCAGCCAGCTTCTGACCATGGATATCAGAGACCTTCAAGCTGTGATTCCACTCAGCGAGCGAACTTGCCTTATTATTGATCAATAGCATCATGAAGCCAGAAGACCGCCTCCTTCCTTTCACCAATTCACCTCCTCCACCTGGACAAAGACCAGGCAATGTGACATGTCTCAGCTGTTTCCTGCAGTGTTCTGTTGGGGAAGAGGATCTCATTCCACTTACTTTTCCCTTGGCCCACCCTTATGTCCACTCAACTGCCATGTGCTTCTGTGACTTCATAGAGAGTCCACAGCCAATTACAATACTTGGGAAGGCATCATCACAATATCTTCAGGCCTCACAATTCTAGGTGCACCTCAGCAGCGATTTATTTGTGTGCTTGTCTAATATTTAAAAGGT